GGACTGTGCTGTGGAGCGAGACCTTCCCCCCTGCACACACTCCCCCCCACAGCATGTTTGCGCTGCCCTTTGCACATGCGCATGAGCACACCTGCCTGCATGAGCACTGCGACACCCTTTGCGCATGTGTGCAAGTGCGTGTGTGTGAGTGCAGGGGGGGGTGCCCCGCCTGCCCCGCTGGGCTAAAAAGTTTAGGGACCGCTGGTATAGTGAACAGACTAGAACTGAGGAGACCTGGATTCAAATCCTTGTTTGCTGTGAAAACTAAATATATGGGTTCAAACTACTCTTTGAATATCCTACATATCTCAACAACCCTATTAGGGTTGTCATAGATGAGAAATGACTTGACAGCAAATAAAAATGAATGACGATATAAATTGCAGGAGATACAGACTGTATTTTAAAAAATGTGATTGGATTTCCTTTTTGGCTGTGATGATTATACTGGTGGTTGAGTTTCAAGGATGATCCTCCCAGCACTAGTCTTGTCTTGTGGCTGGCGCTGCCTCCATCATTCTCTCCATTATATCTACATGAAATATTAAGAACACAAGGAGAGCCCTACTGGATCAGGCCAAGGGCCCATCTAGTCCACCTTCCTATATCTCACAGTGGCCCCACCAGATGCCTCTGGGAGCACACAAGACAACTAGATACCTGTCTCCTGATACCCCTCCCCTGCATCTGGCAGTTTGAGGTACCTGCCTTTTAAGCTTGGAGATTATACGTCCCCATCATGGCTTGTCACCTCCAATGGACTTTTCCTCCAGGAATCTGTCCAATCCTTTTTTTAAAGGAATCTAGGCCAGATGCGGTTCCACAGACTAACAACATGCTTGGTAAATATTTTTTTTTGTCTGTTCTCACGCTCCTAACAGTCTATTTGAGTGGATGTTCATTGGTTATGGTATTGTATGAGAGAGGAAAGAGCTTCCCTCTATCCACTTTATCCATCCCCTGCATAATTGTATATGTCTCAATTAGAGATGGGTGTATTTGTATTCGTATATGAATATGAATATTACCCCACAGGTGCATATAACAAGGGTTTGCTCCCCTGGGTCCAGACCAACCACTCATGATTCCACCGCTGCCGCTACCTCAGTTCCTTTTTTTTCCGCTGCAAAAAGAGGTCTCTTCTCTGGAGCTCTCTCCATCGGTTAAATCAGTTCACCTGAAAGAGAAATTGCTATCGTCAGTTTCTTCTAATAGCTCGTATTTCCCTTTGATTATACTGATTATCTACAAATAAAAAGAAAAAAGAAAAAAAGAAGATCATTATTAGTTCATTCATTGACACACAGATACCCATTCTTCTTTTCCCTATTTCGTCTTCCTGCCTTTTATGGCCCCTACAGGCCCCTTCAAAAAGAAACAAAAGGCCAGTAAACACACGGTGACCTCTAAGGATCAAGTCACGCCTGCCACAACCTCTAAGGGAAAGCATATCTACAGCCCTCCTTCAGTACCGTGCGCAGTACCAAACATTGAAAGAGAACATCGGGGAGTACCAGCAGGGAGGATCGACCAGCTAAATGTCCCAAGGTTCAGTGCCCTTCTGATACTGAGTTTTCCTCCTCTGTCTATATCAGACTCTGACTCTTCAGATTTGGCATCCTTACATGAGTCTCCACCTAACTTGGTGACTCCAGACTCAGACATGGAAGATGGAAATCCTCCCTCACCTGTTGAGCACTTTGCCTCTTATTCCAGCATGGTACAGAGGATTGCGAAGGCATTAGACCTTGAAGTACAACAATCCACTCGAGCTGAGTCAGATAAAGTATACTGTGATGTCAATGAGGATCATACACCCCCTCTATGAATGGGGTTCATACTTAGACCGGTGAAACAATCATGGCTCAAACCATCATCAATAACACAGATGTCACATAGAGTTGAGAACCTCTACAAAACTCATGGTACTGGGACTGACTTCCTGGCAAAACATCAGCCTCCTAATTCAGTAGTCGTGGATGCAACTCAAACACAATCTCGAAATAGATCTACTACCACTCCAAATAACAAGGAGGGCAGGAAGTTAGATATAGTCGCACATAGAATCTACTCCTTGCCTTCCTTTACCCTCAGAGCTGTGAATTATATGGCTGCCATGGGGGCCTACAATAAACATCTGTGGAGCCGTGCCCTACCATCTTTACAGGTAGTTCCCGCAGAGCTCAAACCATGGGGCCTATCATTTCACCAAGAGGCCATGGCTCTCACACGCCAAGAGAGAGTTACAGCACGACACATCACTGAGGCGGCTTCAAAATACCTAGCTACAGCAATAGCTCTTTGAAGACATGCTTGGCTGCGGTCTGCCAATATTTCAGAGGACTCTAAAATGAGAATTGAGGACTTACCTTTTGATGGTTCCGGTTTGTTTGATGCCAAGACGGATGACATCATCCATCATTCCAAATCTGTCAGACCCTGGATTCTTCTCCAGATACTTTCTGGTTTCCCAAAGGGACAACTCTCTACGTCCTATTTTAGATCTTCTGGACCTAAATTTTTTCATTGTTCACCGCCGTGTCTGTATGGTGACTTCGGAGCGCATTTTTCTGTTGCTCCAACACGGAGACTGGTTTTCAGTAATTTACCTGAGCGATGCATACTTCCATGTCTCTGTCAGATGCAGCCACCGCAAATACCTCCGCTTCTCTCTTGGAAGAGCCGCATTCGAATTCAACGCCTTGGCACCAAGAGTGTTTACAAAGTGCATGGCTCCAGTGGCAGCCTATCTGCGAACGCACGGGATATCCATCTTCCCTGGAACAGACGTTAAGCTAACTGGCCTGTAGTTTCTCAGGTCCCCACTCCTTCTCTTTTTAAAGATTAACGTGGCATGTGCTATCCTCCAGTCCTCTGGCATTGTGACCATTTTAAGGGACAAGTTGTATATTTTAGTTAAGAGATCAGCAACTTCATTCCTCAGTTCCTTAATAACCCTGGGGTGGATGCGATCTGGGCCCAGTGACTTACTGATTTTCAATTTAATCTGGGCCCAGTGACTTACTGATGTTCAATTTATCAATTAGGTCTAAAACATCCTCTCTCTTAACCTGTATTTGATTTAATTCATTAGTCAGGAGGGGCAGTTCAGGCAAAACCTACCCAAAATCTTCTGTTGTGAAGACAGATGCAAAGAAATCATTTAATTTCTCTGCAGTCTCCAAGTCCCCCTTTCCCTCCCTCACCATGCAGTTGGCCAGTTGCTTCTCTGGCAGGTTTCTTGCTTCTAACATATTTAAAGAGGCTTTTATTATTCCCCTTTATATTGCTGGCCCTACATTCCTCAAAGTTTTTGTTTGTCTTGCGTATCATCTTCTTACATTTCTTTTGTCAGAGTTTGTGTTCCTTTTAATTTTCCTCATTTGGGAAGGATTTCCATTTACGGAAGGACCCCTCCTTGCCCTTTAAAGCCTCTCTAACTCCGCTCGTTAAAAATGCTGGCACCCTCTTGGACTTAGATGAGCCCTTCTTTCTTTGTGGTATACACTTCCGCTGGGCCTCTAGTACCGTTGTTTTAAACAGGCTACATGTACTCTGGAGGTATTGGATTCTTTTTACCTTCCCTTTCAACTTCTTTCTAACTAATTTCCTTGTGTGAGCAAAGTCTGCCCTTTGGATATGTGGGGTTTTTGTGTCAGATTTGCTTGCCACTCTGCTTCCCAACATGCATGGTGAAAGACATCACGGCATGGTCATTATTTCCTAGTGGATCATATTCTTTATATGTATCAAATAAATGCTGACCTTGTCACTATTTTGTAAACATTCATAAATTAAGTAATTCTTGTTTAACAGTAAATATATGTATTTGAAATGTGATTTCCTAAAATTAGTTTCAAATTGTTTGATTGGCACATGTAACTAGAATATGACAAAAATATGTCATTTGGTTAACTTTATTGGCAAAAAAGGGAAAAGTAACATCTGAGCTGTTCTGCATCAGATGCTACCAAGGCAGTGTGTGTGGGGGAGTATATATGCTTAGGTATGTAAATAAAATGTCATACAAGTGGTCGACCAGACCAGATGGACGGGATATAAATAAAATAAAAAAATAAATAAATAAATAAATAAATACAATCACAACACCCCATGAGAAAAATAACATACAGCAATAAAATAGCAAATTCAGTACCAAAACAAACAAACAAACAAAACCAAAAAAACTCGCAAGACAAATGGTTTTGGCAATGGGGTTGATGACTCACAAGACAAATGTTCCTATGGCCGTGCTTCGCAAGATGAATGTTTTCCGTTTTTTGCTCCTGCCTCGTGTTTGCTGATTTTTAAATGTTTTTCTATGATGTTTAAAAAGTTAGTTTTTTGATTGAAAATTTTAAAATCATCTGCACAATACATATGGCTTTAAAGAGCACTTAATAAACCCTTTGTAAAGCAAATTTGACTTTGTTCTGACTTTTTTTCCCCGTAGGAACACATTAATTAGATTTCAATGCATTCCTATGGGAAAACGGATTTCGCAAGATGAATTTTTCACAAGACAGCATTAACCGTGGAACAAATTAAATTCATCTTGCAAGGCACCACTGTAGATTTTGACCTGGTCCCTAAATTATTTTAAGAGTTGCACATTTTTAAAATCTGTAATGTTTTTAAAATTATTTTAAACGCTTTTTAATATAACAATTTAATTGTATTTTAATATTAAAACAATGTATTATATTTATTGTATGAAACAATAGTCTTCCAAAAAACAAAAAGAAACAAAAACCCTGGACCTCATGTCTAGGCTTGAACAGCTGGGTAAGAATATCACAAGAAACCCACTTTATGAAGGATGAAGACTCATAATCTCTTCACACAGTGCTTTGAAAATCCTTGAGTTCTTGGACCTTGACTTTATAAAACTAAAAAGAGTAGGTTTGCATTTCCTTTGCATTTGGCTCTACATTCGGGTGGGATGTAAAATAAAATATTTTGATGTTAACACTTAATACCTGCTCCTTTTCATTTTTCAGAATGAAATAAATGAAGTCTCCTTCTTTGATGTGCAGCTGCCATATGAACTAGCATTAAAAATATTTCAGTTTCTTGATCGGACGGAACTGGGGAGATGTGCTCAGGTAAAATGTTATCCAGATGTGCTGGTTCCCTCCTGGTCATAGCATATTATGGAAATACTTTTGGAATCAAGAGAGTTTTCTTCTCAGTAAATGTGTTTGGTGTTTGCACATATGTGACAGTGGTTCTGTGGTGGGCGTCTCCCACTCTCACTCCCTCCAGATGTAGGTTATGTCAGGTATTTAGTACAAGTGCTTCTAGTGCAGTCGCAAACAGTAAATGTGGGGGCAGGTGGCAATCATGATAGGTGTCTGTGTATATCTGATAAAGATGTGAGATGTGATTTTAAAAATTCTATTTAAGTTGGTCAAATACTTTATAGGCATCTAATGATAAAATCAGAGCTGTTTTTTATTTTTTTAAACATGACATGTAATATTTAATATTGTATTGATATGACTTTAGGCATAAATCTGGATTGTTCAGGTTGTTTGTTAGTCTGCAAGTTCATTCGCTTATATATATGTTAATATTTTGTAGGGATATGATATTGGATTTTAAGGACTTCCAGCCCCAGAATTCACCACAGTCCCCCAGGCAGAATTCTGGGACTCAGAAAGGAGAAAATAGAAGGAAAAGAGATATCTTTGTACCTTCAATATTATTGATGCCTAGGTGGGCATATTATTAATTATTCAATATTGTTGATGCCAGCAGCATTCAGCATTCCATAAGCCAACTAAAAAAGGAATGCCCCTAACAAAAAATTATAACTATGAAACTGGACCTTGGATCACCACCAAATTTACCAGAGACATAGCAGAAAGTCTTCTCTTGCTGTCTGTCAAATTTGGGGTTGTGTGGGGAAAGGGTTTTCTAATTAGAGTTTTTAAAAAGTAACACTTTTTACCCTGTGCAGAACAAAGCAACCTGAGACCCTAGCTGGTTTAAAACAGATCAAACACATTGATAAGATGAAGTACGCATGCCTGGAAAGAAAATACTCAGTGCCCCCCACTTTTGTTATTTTGTGGCAATTGGAGCCTTTGTATTTTTAAAGCAACATGAGGTATGAGTTTACCAGTTTTCTTTTATAAATTGCCAAGATTCTAATCAGATTGAACTTTTGATCGTAACACTCCGAAGCCTATTCAATGACAGTGAAAGAACACAATTAATTCCTTCATGGTCAAACATTTTTAATTCCTCCTTTGAAAATATTTTAAAAGATATTTTAAAAAATATATAATAATATTCAGCAGCTCAGTCATTTAAGCTGTGAAATTACTAGGTTCTTCTGTGAGTGCACACAAATGGGTTGTTCTGTGCCTGTGCAGGATGTCTTGGAAGTTTCTAGAGTTTAAAAACACGTGATTAGTAGGACGCTGCCCCGCCTGCCCAAGGTCCTCTCAGTTCCTATTAGCCGCCGCGTAGGTTAGATCTATATCGGACTGCTAGGGCTTATTTTCAGGTTAGGTCTTATTTTCAGGAAGACAGGGTACCAACTTTTTATTTTTAATTCTGGATTTTGGTAGGGTTATTTTATGCTTATAATTATTATCTGTTGTATTGCCATGTTATTTTGTATGTATTTTTATTATTCTGAGGTATCGTAAGCTTTAATCCTCTGTAAGCTATCCAGACTAGTGCTTGCACAAATGAGGTTGTATATGAATTGAATAAATAAGATGAAAATAAATATATTTTAACATTTAGTGGCTTACCTGCATCCCTTACTCAAGCCTAGCTAATAAATGTTTGCTTGAGCACAAATGTTCTTTTTTGTATGAGAGCATTAAGTGAAACTACTCACTTAAGCCCTTTTTATTCACACCTGTGTCTTGCTTGGAAAAGCCTTGTACGTGCCTTGATTGTGCCAGTTTCTGCTTTATTAATGGGATGCCTCAGCCTCCTGAGCCTCTTCGTGGAAAATCTGGTCTATAAACTAGCAGGGTTAGAAGTTACCTGATTAATGTCACAACACGATTGTTTCTTTCCCCTTCCACTTTTCTTTTTTGGTAAAAGCTGTCATTAATATTGAAAGAACACCTTGTAAAAAGACCTTTCTTTGTGTTGTTAAGCAGCTGTCTGCATCCTTGTGGTTTTGAAACAAATTGTAGCAAAGTTCCCAGCATTAACAGGCAAGAGAGACAGTGCTGACTGGGAATGATAGACACTGAAATTCAACATGTACTGAGATTGGCAGAGACTGTTCTAAAACATGACTGGCGCGCACCCCCAGTGTCCTCTGTGTGTTTTCCCACTCGCACAGGTTCACGTTCATACACGACTTGTTCTTTTCACCCTTTTTTGGTGTTCGTACACGACTTGTTCTTTTCACCCTTTTTTTGCTGCCACCAGAAGGTATTACCCTCACTGTACCAATTATGAATCTCAGACTATTGCTGCCAAATATCACAAGGCTTATTTATAGTAGGGTAGGTAAATCACAGAAGAAAATTATGGATGTTCTTTTATTATTCATTAAATAAATGTGGATTTGATTACATATAAGCTTGCGTGTATTCATTCATTTTAATCAAGGTCTCAATATATTCTGACAGTCTATGTATTTCTTATTACTTTTAACTCTTTTATATTCTCTCAACGCACCAACTTCCCAATCTCTTGTCTAAACACTTCACAATCTTCTCCCTAACTGGCTCTCTTGTCTCTCCCAGTTCTCCTGACTCCGCCCCTCCTGTCCTGTCATAGGCTTCTACACTAGAGCTCTAAAATGACTGACAGGAGTGACGTGTGGGCTGTCTGCCACAATGACTTTGACTGAAATTTGGAATGAGCTTTAAAATTCTCACTATATTTAGCAAGTAGTAGTTCTGCCATTTCTTCTGCCTCCTCCTCTTCCCTATCTTGTGCTTCCTTAACATCTCCCATTTGTAGCTTGGCAAGAGAAATGTTGGAATGCTAAAGTAGGGAACAAAGCAGAACTAAATGTTATTAAAAAATTGGTCTTGGGGTCATGAATAAAGCAAGAAAATGACTCACAGAGCTCTGAAGTCAACAACTTGTTTATTGCAAATACAGTGGTGCCTCGCTTAACGGGCGCTCTGTTTAGCGACAAAATCGCTTAGCGATGCCTTTCAGAGTGTTTTTGCGCTTCGTTTAGCGATGGTCCCTATGGGCGATTTTCGCTTAGTGATGGTTGGGACCATGCTTCGCATAGCGATTAAATTTTGGGTCCCCCGTTTCGCTTAACAATGGTTTAAACAGCCTCATGTTTGCTGTTTTTTAAATGTTTTCCTGTTATTTATAAAGTTAAAGTTTACTGTTTAAAATGTTTGAAATCATAAAGTGCACTTAATAAACCCTTTATTAACTAAATTTGACTTTGTTCTGACTCTTTTTTAATTTGTTGTTGTATTTTTTTCCCCCCATTGAGATGCATTGAATAGGTTTCAATGCATTTCAGTTGGGGTACCGCGTTTCGCTTAGCGATGTTTCCTGTGGCGATTTTCGCTTAAGGACGGCAATTCGTTCCTATTGGAACGGATTATCCGGTTTTCAATGCATTTCAATGGGAAACCGTGTTTCGCTTAGCGATGAAATCGCTTAGCAGCAATTTTTCGGAATGAATTAATATCGCTAAGCGAGGCACCACTGTACATGTTTCAAGCAGCCAAATACATAGACTTCATCAGATGCCAATATAGAACTATAGACTATGCAATTGGAAGCAGGAGATGAAGAAGCTCTATTCTCTTTGCCAAAACAAGACCAGCAGCAGATTGTGGTACTGATCATAGTGTGTTAATATCAAATATTAGAGGAAAGCTGAAGAAGAACACTGAAAGAATCCTAGTGGCATTATAATGATCAGTGCAAACAACATTTCTGATGAATTTAAAATCCACATCCCAGGTTTACATTACTAAATGCAATTGACTATGAATCAGAAGAACTGTGGATTGAAATGAGAGACAAAGGTAGGGAAGTACAGTAGAACCTCGATTTATGAACTTGCAAATGATTCGAGTTACGAACGCCTCCATTTGCAAAAAGTTGCTTCGATTTGCAAATGGAGCCTCGACTTACGAACTGAAAAAACCTTTTCCTGCCCTTTTTTTTTACCTAAGTTCACCTTAGGTCAAAATAAGAAAAAATAAAAAAATCACCCCCTAGTAGTAGAGTCCGGATTAACCGGCTTTGCATTAGTTCCTATGGGAACTAATGGCTCTACCTACGAACAGCGCCTTGACCTGTGAATGGAAAACAGCAGATATTTAATTAAATGGTTTTCAATGCATTCCAATGGAAAAGTTTGCCTCGATTTATGAACTTTTCGATGTATGAACTTAATTCCAATACAGATTAAGTTCGTAAGTCGAGGTACTACTGTATACAAAAAGATAATTCTTGTAGTAAAAAGAGAAGAAAAACCTAGATTAGGAATGCCCTACAGGGAAGTACAGTGGTGCCTCAATTTACGACCATAATCCGTTCCAGGAGATGGCCGTAACTCGAAATGGTCATAAGTCAAAGCACCATTTCCCACAGGAATGCATTGAAATGCAATTAATCCGTTCCAGCCGAAGGAAAAAAAAATCACACGCACAAAATCACTGCAAGACTCATTGGAAACGCGATTAATCCCTTCTGGCCGCCTAGAGTGTTCTTATAGGCCAGATGGGCGGGGTATAAATAAAATTAAATAAAAGTAATCAAGTGTGCAAGACTCATCGAAAATGCACAGAAAACAAAGAGACCAGGTCGGAAATACAAAGAGAACAAAGGAAAAAGCAAGGGAAGCATGCAGGACCCATTGGAAATGGGAAAAAACAAACAAACAACCCCCCCAAGATCCAGCGGAAATGGGGGAAAACACTCAAAAAAGCAACCAAACCTTCCAAGACCCATCAGAAATTGGGGGGGGGACCAAAAAAACAAACAAA